ACCAAGCCGTATTGAACCGTTAGAAACCTCACGGGTACATTACGGGTTTTACTAATCTATCGAACCGTTTCAGACCGTGCCCAACCCTAAAACATAAGGCATATTTAATTATATTAGAAGGTTATTAGTTGGGCTAAAATTTCCTATTCTAATCTGATCTGATTAGTCTAATCTCGTAAATATCTTAAATTTATATATTTTATAATTGTCACAGTCTGATCAATTTAAGTTTGATATGCTTAAATCGAGTGATGGTCACCAACTTTGAGTGACAAGTAAACACCACAGCGACACCCGGTTTCTTGTGGCACCGGACACACTTTATATTTGACATAATTGGTGTAAAGCTGGGTTGTTAGGTTTAGGAGAGAGAAAATGGTCACAAATCCGTGAAAAGTTAATTGAAGAGTTATGCAATCACCGTTCTTATTATGTCATGTTATACAAGTCTATGAGACTTGTTGCTAAATAGCTTGAAAAACTATTTTACTTCAAAGTTCTAGCTCTGTATAATCATTAGATGGTTGTACCAGACATGAATCATTTGATTGCCTCTAATAAATATGTACAATGTGGTGTTGGCTACCTTTCTAAGCAAGTATGTGTCACTTATCAACCTCTCCCGATTTACTCCACCACCACGGTAACATCACATAATATTAACTTTCAAATTTGTAAATGGAAATCACTTTGTTCAGGTAAATAAGTTACTCACTACATTATATTTGTGCATTTATTATACAAAATTTGATTTTTTAGTATTGGTTGTTAAAATGTATTGTAGGTTACATTGAATTCTAGTTTGCCATTACCTCTAATTGTTCCTAATTTGAAACACTTTGGTCTTGAATGCTCTGTAGTTTGAGATACCTTGTATTTAGTTTAGATTAGGGCGTTTAATGACATAATATCTTCACGATTGGCTGTTCATAGTAATAAAGTTGTTGACTTAAATGAATCATAGTTACTAGTAAATTGTTCGCCGCGTTGCGCGAAAGTAATATGCCCAACTTTCAATTTTAATGAATTGTGTACAATGCTTTTATGAAATGTTAATTATATTTTCTATGTAAACTGTGTAGTAATTTTCAAAAATAATAAGATATAGTTCAATTGGATGCTGTTACAGTAAAATATATACATTTATGAAGTAATTGAGCACGCATCAATATTATAAACAAACTTAACGTGAAGTGATCATTTAGTATATATTTAAATAAACAAACTTAACGTGAGTTTGGACTTTAGAAGCCTCAGTTCGAAAAATGTCAAGGCAGCTTCGATAAGAAAAAGTAAAAATTCCTCTTAGAGTTCTCTGAACATTTGTGCTCAATGAAGTCATTTAGTTTGACCGGTTGTGTGATACAAAAATAGAGATTTCCTTAAATGTAATGGTAAACTGTTGGCTAAAAAACTGCACATGAAGGTTAGCGTTAGAGAGTGGCTAACCAGAGGAGTTTTAGACAACATAAGCTTACACGCGGATCGTGTATAAGCTTACAATGTGTTAAATCCTAAACTAATTAATTTATTTAAGCATAAGCAGTTTTAATATTCTTTTGCGCTTTTGATTGTCAAATGATAAAAGGCTCTAATATAAATATGCACCAGAAATATATGATTTAGAAAAATATAAAATATGCAGCAGACTACACATCAAGAAAAAAACGCAGCAAAAACACACTAAAAACACAGTGCTTGAAGGCAAGTGTAATGAAATAGCATTGACATATACTCCATCCGTCCCCTTTTAAATGTCCCGGAAAGGGTGGCACGACTTTTAAGAAAAGTGGGTTTGTGCGGTTGATATTAATTGATAAAGTAAGAACAAAGTAGGAATAATTTTGAGCCACACAAACTTTACAAAATAAGGTATGAGACAATTAAATAGGGACATTCCAATATGATAAAACGGGACATTTAAAGGGGACGAAGGGGGTAATATTATAAAACACCTAGTGTTCTTTTAGTTTCCTTTCATATGAAATTGTGTAGACCATATAATCACAATCCAAGCCTTAATTAATACTCCGTATAAAATATGCAACAAAAAATGCTGCAAGATCGTAGCAAAAAATGCCGTAAAAACTACAACACTTGAAGGCAAGTGCAATGAAATAACTTGGCATATTATCAAACACGTAGTGTGCTTTTTGTTTTCTTTCCTTTGAACGTGTACACACCATGAACTTCTGTCCTACAATTACTTTACTGGGAAACAACATGTAAATACCTATTAAATAACTAACTATTTGCTGAAATTATGCAGGAAAAAACACAAAGAAAAAGTGTTGGGAAAATTGATTCACTTCTATGAGATAATAACACACAAAGAAAAAAGAACAAATTGAAGATCACATACGTAAAGAACAAACATGGCATTACTTTTAATAACAGAAATACCTAGCTCATTAAGCAAAGGGAAGGGTGCAAGGAAGAATAAGATAATAGACCTAAAAATTATTGATCAACCACTGTGAGAAGAGGGCAAATGGAAGTCGAAACCTCATTATATACTGAAAGTAATTAAGATCCAGCTAATCGTAAAAGTAAATGCTACATCTTCAAATGATGGAGATGAATGTTCATGAAGTGCTTTGGGGGAAATCAAGAGCTCATATAGCTGGGAAATAACAGATGAAAGATACTCCGTAGGTATACCTGGGTTGACGGTGTCAAAACAAATTAAACGCCGTCATATGTGAAGCTTGACGGAAAAGTGAGAACGGCAATTCAATGGAACACTCGAATAGCACAAGGTACTACATCTTATAGGCTAACATGAAGAAGTAATGAGCATTTAATAATAAAAAGTGGCCTTTATAAGATAGGTTAAGATATGTTTATGCAATCTTTATGATGACTATAAATGTAAAGCAATTTTTTTAGTTTACCTTATTTTTAATATTTATGTTTTTGCTACTATTTCTTGTGTGGTTTAAATATGTTTTGAATCCCTATAAATATAGTGCATTTTGTTTAACATCCTTGCAAAATTATGTTTTTTTCATCATTGTAATTTATTTTGGTTTTCATTTTAGTCCATTATCAATGATAATAACCTGTGTTTGTGAGTGAAACAACCCCGACTAATATGTTTTCTCTCATTCTTTGTCATGTTATTCAAAACATTTTAATTTTAATTTTTTTAGAAGGTTGTTAATACATACTTTAGAAATTTGAATAATTAGTTTTACATTGTTTTAACTCTCATATTAGCTCAAAAATAATATAAAATGATAATTTTAATAGTTTCTAGTAAAGTTATGCAAGCGACAATAACATTTTACTATACATTTGCTTTGAAGTTAGAGATAAATTAAAAACAAAATAGTGTATATATCGCAAGGATGAAACACAAAAAAAAATATGCATGGACTTAAAACAAAGTGTGGCATATTTGCAGAGGCAAAAAACGTACTTTAACCTTTGTCATTATATAACTATTGCTCCAATCTTCTTCATTAGCATTTGGGTCTTATGAAATAGACAATTTTGCTTTATCTGCATGAAAAAATATTAAATTTACAAGGCCATTTAATAAGTGAAATATAGAGTAGAAATAATGTTCCGTATATTCTAAAAAGGGCAGGAGATCTCAAAATCTATATGAACAATCATTATCAGGATATATAAAGGAACGAGTTGATCCCAGAGAAATTCTAAACAGTTGGTGCCGATTGGTTGAAGCATACCCACAACAAAAAATTGTTATTAGTGGAACGAGTTTGAAGCGATAGCCGCTTAAGAGAAGCTTATGATGCAATATAATAACTGAATTAACTTTTCACATTTCACAATTGCGCTGCACATTGAAATCAAATTTCACATTTCAAGAACTTGCATGTCTTTTAGTTGGGGATACAGAATAAAATATAAATAAAACAATTAATGCTTAAGTTCGAGGTGAGGATCATGGTTCCAAAGGCCATATCTTACTACTTCAATCAGAAAACTTACGACTCCATGGTGTCTTGTGCGCCAGTTATCGTCTCTATGTTCATTTTCTTCTCATTTTGAAATTCACAAAGGCACATACTCCAATTGAGCATTTAGCTATCGGGCAACAGGATATGGCTAGATTGTGTTGCAATAAGGGTATAATAGGTTTTATGATATAAGTTTATTTAAAATAGAAATAAAAGGTTGTGTTTGGTAAACATGCGACTGTGAATGAAATTTCAATTGTAATACCGGTTATAGCTTTGTCGATCCTACTATTGGGCTTTATTTAAGTTTTGGGCCTAGCTTTGTCAATGCACATGGTTTAGGGAAACAACTTTTAGTTCTCTGTTCTAGTTCCATAACTCCAGCGAGTATTATTATGCAAGACAAATTTGAAAAGTGGAAGTTGTCAAAGTGAACCACATTCCACACTTATGATCCTCATGTAATTTTAGTTTGGGAGGGTTTTCTCAAATGATGACCTTCTAGTCCTTAAAGCAGTTTGAGTGATGCAAAATCAGTATTTCATCTCGTCATAAGCGCCAATATAAGAATTAGTTTCTTGTTGAGAATATGACTTAAGAGATTGTTTGAGTGACTCAGATTGATACCCCTCAAGAATTTGAAGTAGAATTATGAGGCCATGGTATTAGTCAAATGAAGTCACGAGTATTAAAAATATGTTCACAAATTCATAGTTTGTAACGAAACATAGAGATGCAAATACTATAATGATTACATTTAAGAGTCTGTTTTGGTAATATGAAAATCGGTTAAATCGACTGATTTAATTGAAATTTATGAAGTTCTAATTGAAGTAGCTGAATTGGATGTTTTTGGTGATTTAATAAAAATTGTATTTAAAAAATATGTAAAAATAGCTAAAATGGTTGTCTGCGGCAATTTCAACCAATATAATTATAGAAGTAACTTTAACCTTATTTTTTGTTATTATTACACAATTCAACGCGCGAAATCAAAATTACGTCATAAAAAAATTTGACTAATAAGTGGAAAAACAAAGTTGAAACAGCTATTTCGTCTGCCAACTCATAGAATACGGCATCCTATCCCCTACCTTCCTTTGATTTCAAGAAAATCTCTTTGCTTTCGAAATATCAAGAAGCCAAATATATTCTCAATCAGTAAATAATACGGAGTAAGGAGTACTCACCTCCTCAAAGTACTACATTTCCGTACTCCGACACTTCCCAATGGCGAGTCATTTCCACACCACCTTTCCGAGCGCCGCCATATCTGCACCCCAGAGGCACCATCTAGAGTATACATTCCACTCCTCCATCACTCAAGATCGTCTCTTGGGCCGGGGCAGGCTCAAACAGATACGGAAGAGCTCAAAAATTAAAGTATCCGATGGAGCAGACCTGTCCTACTTGGATATGTGGAAGACGGCGGTGGGTCGCGAGAGGAAGTCTCTGGAGTTTCAGAGGATCGTGGAGAATAGCGGAAATGCCACCGAGGAGGAAGAGAGCCCGGAAGCGTTGGAGAGGAAGAGCAACGAGTTCAAGAAGATTCTTGAATTCCCCCCCGAGGAAAGGGACCAAATTCAGAGATTGCAAGTTATTGATCGTGCTGCAGCTGCGATCTCAGCCGCTAGGGCACTGTTGAAGGAGAACCCTCGCCCGCAACTTGGAGCTTCAGGTGTAATAGAAGTTCAGGGTGGTGAAAATGAGGACAATCAACAAGGTATAACTCTATTCATGTTATCCCGCAATGAATTTTCTGCTGAATTTTATCCACAGCATATTTAATTATCTGCAGCATAGTAATTGCCCAAGTCTAGAATGAATTTTCTTCCAAGGAACTAACACATATAAAGTTTTCAACAATCCCTTAACATGTTAGTATGAAGTCACAAAATCTTAATTTTATAAATGCTGACTCAGAGAGGTAAGTGCTGATTGTTGCTATCCATGAATTCATGTAAGTAACACACCCTTGCTATCTGTGTCCACAAATCTACGTTTTGTTCATTCTTCTATGATTCTATGGTCAACTTTATTTCTTTGGCAGTTGTAAGATCTTTAAACTGTTGACACCATGAAGTGCATTCCTTAAAAATTAGTATGTGGCCAAATGAGACTATTAACTTGGTAAATGATACTCTTTGCTTAACCAGGGCTGCTAAATGAGAGCTTATCCGTCCCTCAATCAGGAAATACCATTTCCATAACGCCTGGCCCAAGCTTCTGGTCATGGATACCTCCTCCAGACATATCTCTTAATGATGAAAACAAACTAAAAGCAGATGCCAAATTATCCGCATCTCCAAACCTTACCAGTCCTGTGATAGAGAAAGAGCGGTCAGCTGAATTTCTGCCAATACCATTTGAAAGTGTCGTTTTGGGAAGTAGCAAAACCAGTCCTTCTCTCCCTCCTCTACAGTCACTCGTGGAGGTTGATTTGGACACTTCAATGTCAACTGTAGAGACACCTCCTGAACTTGGCGCCCAGTTTTCAACACACGCTGCTGAAGCTGTTCTTGCGCTGGAGCAGGTCATAAGTGACGGTTCTTCCTATGGAGTGAATCCTGATGGGTCAAAATGGTGGAAGGAGACTGGAAATGAACTAAGACCTGATGGGGTTCTGTGTAAGTGGACAGTGATGAGAGGAGTTAGTTCAGATAAATCTGTTGAATGGGAAAATAAGTATTGGGAAGCTGCTGATGAGCTCGGTTACAAGGAATTAGGTTCTGAGAAATCTGGACGTGACGCGGTGGGAAGTGTGTGGCGTGAATATTGGAAGGAGTCCATGTCAGAGGTTGATGAATTTGAATCATTTTATTTATACACGCTATGTGGTTATTGATATTTAGGCTCTGTTTGGCAGCCAAAATCGGCCAGAGTTTGTGGAAGAAACAGTATTTAGAAAATCTGTCCATTTTAACTTAATAAATAAGTCAAAGGCTACCAATGGAGCCTAAGTAGCTTTTGGCTGGCTAACTTGGCTGAAACTGATCTTACCAAATGCTTTTTGTTTGATAAAATCATGCAGGTTCAACCATTTTAGCCAAACAACCCATACGAAACATGGCCTTGATAATATGTGTATAGTTGACTTTTCTAAGGAACATCTCAACATTGTTTTCAATCTTACCAAGCTAGTTTTGGCTTCTTCTCTCAGCATTTCAAATTGCAACAAACATAGGGTTACTTTTAGCTTTCCAATTATATGGTCACAATGGATATTGTGAGTTCATGATGATAAGTTTTTAAGAGACAAGGCCGCATTGGGAATTCGTTGTTTTATGCAGAGTAATGGCCTTGTCCACATGGAGAAAACTGCAGATAAGTGGGGAAGGAATGGGAGAGGTGAAGAGTGGCAAGAACAATGGTTGGAGAAATATGATGCTACTGGCCAAGCAGAGAAATGGGCACATAAGTGGTGCACCATTGATCCTAACACACCTCTTGATGCTGGCCATGCTCATTTGTGGCATGAGAGGTAATGTAGTAGTGTCTCAACCTTCTTACAAAGGAAACATGAGATGATATTTTAAAAGCTTTCATCACCATATGTTTTCTTTATTATCACTTGCATAAAGAGACATGTTTAAAAATCTTTCATTGCCTTCATATAAAATGTTTTATCACTGCAAAATTGGGCTGTTCTGTTATTCATCTCTTTGCATTTCCCCCCGCTTAGTCCCTCTCCTTCAACTGCGCTAACAACTTGCGTATCCCACATAACTCTAGTCTACCCTTTTTCGTTGCATAACATGATTTTGGGCCGAAATGCAAAAGCTTTATAAAAGTACCTTTTGCATGTTGGTCCAAAATCATGGTTTGTAGAGTGGTTTTGGAGGTTCCCAAAAATGTACACTATTAGATTCAATCTACAAAAGTAAACGTTGCATGGCAGGTGGGGTGAGAAGTTTGACGGGCAAGGGGGAGCAATGAAATACACGGACAAGTGGGCTGAGAGGTGTGAAGGGGATGGGTGGTCAAAATGGGGAGACAAGTGGGACGAACACTTCGATAACAATGGTCACGGGGTGAAACAAGGGGAGACGTGGTGGGAAGGCAAGCATGGCGATAGATGGAACCGCACATGGGGGGAGGGGCACAACGGTTCGGGATGGGTGCACAAGTATGGGAAGAGCAGCAGTGGGGAGCATTGGGACACTCATGCACCACAAGAAACATGGTACGAGAGATTCCCGCATTTTGGCTTCTATCATTGCTTTGAGAACTCTGTCCAACTCCGACAAGTGAAAAGGCCTTCTGAATCGCCCTAAGTAGGGTTCTTTGTGATGGATTGTTGTTGTTGTAGCTTCTATTATACACATATTGTGGGATTAAAAATAAGATGTGTGATGATTTTCATTGCTTAATGTTAGGCTTTGTTTGGTAAAATAAAATAAATACTCAATACCACAGCTTGTTTCCCGTAGTATGAAAATATTTTTCCCCAGGTGGCAAATAAATTCAACTATATACTCCAGCCAAAGTTAAGCCTTATATTCAAAACAACAACAAAGGCCCTGTTTGCCTTTACATTTTTTATATTGTACTCCCTCCATTCCCCTAAAATTGTCCCATTTTTTCATTTTTGAATGTCCCCATATTATTGTCTCGTAGTACTATATTTGGTAAATTTGTGTGACTCTAATTCATTCTTATTTTATTCTCACTATATCAAGTCATTATCAACCACATAATTCTACTTTTCTTAAAAATCACATCAACCTCTTCCGTCCCAATATTAGGGGGACAAAGGGAGTAATACATTTAAAAGTTACATGATACACTTTATATAATAACAATTTCAAAACTAGTATTACTTGTATGAATCATATTAAATTCAAAATTGTCATTACAAATGTGAAATCTTTTATTTTCCAAACTTTGGATTTTAGTTTGAACAAAATAAAGAGCCTGCGACTTGGAGACAACTTTGTTGCTTATATTGAAAGAGAAATTACAGAAAACTTTTGACTCAATTAGTTTGTGTTCGTGGATTTTATTTGTTTGAAGGAACACCGAGCACAGTGTTAAGTTATTAACAAGAATAATTTGTTACTTTTCCTTTTACCTACTCCATACTTAGATATCTAAAAATAATTACTTTTATTATATATTTAAAAATAATTACAAATAAGTATTGTTATGGCCGCCTCAATATCACTTTCTGGGTCCGCCTCAGATTATAAGTAGTAGTCAAATATATTTGAATAACTTTTGTATTAGGGATTATTATTTGGATTTTTGAAATTCAAACAACCTTATAGGAATCGAATAAAAAAAATTGTATATAGCACACGGCTGCAGCCTAGTTAGACGGAAGAATAATGTGCCCTTTGAAAGTTTAGTTTTGAAGTGGTATCATTTAAAAGTCAGTTGTTTCTGTCAAGTCTATTTAATTGAATTAATCAGGCAGGGGTGGTCAGCAAACTTTTGTGTATTTCCAAAAACAGAAATAATAGAAGTTAGCCCGAATGATATGATTCTTCAACAATTCAAGCATAGATAGGATAGGAAGTTCCTTATTTTTTTCGTTTTGTCAAAATGAAGTCAAAAGCGTCAAGCCAAAGCCCACCCTTTGATATTCCTTTCATTCCAACAATAATACTTGGTATAATGCTTGAGCTACTTTAAACTCGGTATATATAGGGCGTACTCGGGAGCAAAGGTTGGAGTAACCCAATACAAACATTTTTTTGAGATAAACTTTTATACACAAATTTTTACACTGAAACTACAAAAAAAACTGGGGTAGCCGGGCCCTGGTCGACCTCCTCTAGCTCCGCCCCTGTATATAAATATTCTGCCTAACTAGCATGGAGCTGGGTGCTTCATCAGGAAAAGCTAAGAGGATGCATTCCATGGCTGCTGAGGTACAAAATGGCGAGCTCAAAAAAACCTTCAGTGCATTTAACAAGGATGGTGATGGTGAGTAGTACTCTCTTCACACTGCTTTAACATATACAGTATATATCTATCATATACTGGGTTGGGGATTCAATAATGTATGTATGGAGGAGCCAAAGATGTCATACAAGGCCACAAGGGGCCGAGGCTCAAGGAAATTACATGGAAAGAACAAAACTTAAAATTTCAAATTATTTAGTTACTACTTATAACTATTTATGCATATACTTGTACATTACATTACAAATTTTTCCGTGGGCCGCTCTCTCGGTCTCCACCACTGAGATGCGGGTTTAATCAAGCAAGTAGTGCATCGTTTTAGCTCTCTCGGTCTCGTTTTAACCCCTTATCATTAATTTTCAAAAGATTATATGTTTAACCGAATTTTAAAAATTAGTGTTCTCGAGATCATGATGAATTTAAGATCTAACGGTGCGCCGAAATGAATAAATTAGCTAGTAGTGTAAGAGCGAAAAACTGATCGAATTGTGTGAATATGTGTAGGGTGCATCACACTTGAAGAATTAAGGGGTGTGATCAGAGTCTTGGAGCAAAGCCGGAAAAAGGGTAATGAGCTGCGGGACATGATCAATGAAGTTGATGCGTCGTCTGCCACTGCTTTCATAGACTTCATACAATTCTTGAACCTCATAGCCAACAAAATGAAGGCCGGTTTGTCCAAAGTAAAATAGCTGGCTAGTACAACTAACTTATTACTTTGCAACAAGCTAGCATTTGAAATCAATGAAGACATTAATCAATTCAATAGTTAATGAATGTTATCCATATGTATGCCAGGATTTAGATGTAGAGGAGGAGCTTGAGGAGGCCTTTAAGGTGCTTGACAAAGACCAAAACGGGTACATTTCGTCTACTGGGGTACGTGACTTTTACTTTGTAATACTACTGTTGAGGATCAATTCCGTCGGTCGGATTCCGGCCAGTTAGTCCGGAGGTCAATTTCCGATTGTCTCTTGTGAGCAACACTCACTCTCACCTCAATATTAATATACAAAAATCACTTGGGCCAACAATATATTAACAACTACCAAATGTATGAACTATATATGCAACGGTCAACATTTCACACTTGCCGAGACACAACTTTGACCATTAATATAAATGATTTTGTATTAGTAAAAAAATTTAAAAAATTAGATTATGAAAATTTACAATGAGACAAGTTTAACAATATTTTTTTCATAAAATAATATTATTGCATTAATAAATAAAACGTAGTCAAAGTAGAACAAGTGAATAGTGTAAAAGTCAAAGTGTTGCATTTATTTAAGAACGGAGGTAGTATATATCAAGTGTAAACTTTAGTACTCCGTAACTAACAGGCTCTTATTTATTGTGCTCTCTAATCTATTAGAGTGTATCTTTTAGTTAAATACTTTCCCCCGTTCTTTAATTCTTGCAACATTGTGTTTTTTACATTATTCACGCATCTTACTTTGACCACGATTTTTTACTAATATATGTAATCAAATTATTACGTAGAAGATGTTATTGAATTCCTATTAATGTGAATTTTCAAAATATCAATTTTTTATAATGTTTACTAATACATAATTAAATATAGGGAGAATTTGACTTTGCACCCCATGTTTTAGGTGATATTTGAGTTTGCACCCTATTTTCAAAATGATTAATATATGCACCCCAATCCCCTATAAAACCATTTGACTTTGCACCCCATTCCTTCACAATTTTTGGATTGATGGGGTGCATACATTAATTATTTTAAAAATAGGATGCAAAGTCAAATATCACCTAAAACATGGGGTGCAAAGTCAAATTCTCCCTTAAATATAACCATAGTCAAAGTTGTGTATTGGTAAACGTGAAAGTCAAACTGTTGCAAGAATTAAAGAACGGAGGATAGTATCTAACTGTAATGAGGGGGTGTTTGGAATTGATTCTGCTTCTTTTTTAAAGCAGAAGCAAAATCAGAATCAGTTTTCTGAAGCTGGTCTCCCCCAACTAGGCATGGACTGAACCAGGCCCGGTTCCGGGTCGGGCCTAGGACCGGCCGGGCCAAAAAAATTCAGAGAGGCCCGGGACCGGTCCGGAAGTTGATTGGTGCCGGTCCGGGCCCGGGCCGGGTCCAGTTCTATTTTTTTTTTGTTTTCTTAATTATATTATCCCCTACCCCCCCCCCCCCCATCCCACAAACCCATCTAAAACACCCATTCCAGCCCATTTAAACCCAGCCCCAAACCAAAAAAAAAACAAAAAAAAAATTGAAAAGGCCCGAACCGGGCCCGGAACTGGCCGGGCCGGTTCTCAATTCCCTCAGCCCGTACCCGCCCCTGGTTTCCCCTTCAAACCGGGCCTAGACTCGGTACCGGTACCCGGTTCCCGGGCCGGGTGGCCCGAACCGGGTCCAAGCCTACCCCCAACTGCTTCTGCTTCCTGGAGGAGCAGAAAAATTTTGAGAATCAGATCCAAACACCTCCTGAGTTTCGAATCACATGGTACTTGTCGTATCTAACAGACTTTTATGCATGTATTTCCTTTTTTTTTACTTCATCTTATTCATAGCTTATTTAATTTAGTCCATGGTTCAATTCTTTTGTAACAAAATAATTTGTTTTAAATCAATAAATGGCATTGAAATATTGGCTCATATGGATGGTTGGCTATCGGTTGAATCAGTTTATTTGACTAAAATGATTTATTAATTGTGTGACCGCTTAAAAGATCGATATTTTATTGGGCGAGCGTGCGGATCTTGACAAATTCTCACTCGTTGATTTTGCAAAAATTGTGAAAAAAATGTTTAGCCTAGCTTTAATTTGTCAGTCAACATGGTATGTTGTAGACCCGTGACACATGCATGCATTATGCAGTTGAGACATGTAATGAGAAATCTGGGAGAAAAACTGAGCGAAGAAGAGGTTGAGCAGATGATCAAGGTAGCCGACTTGGATGGTGACGGTCAAGTCAATTATGATGATTTTGTCAAGACGATGATGATGATGATGCCTATTCATCACACAACAAGTTACACATAAAAAAGATAAACACATATATGATATACATTTATGATCAACACATGTAGGTGTTCCATAAGGAACCAACACGTTGTGACTTGTCACTTGGGACATTGGTGTAACTTATATATGACGAGATATATACAACTATATAGTAAAAATGTATTTTTATACGTAGTATTATCTATCATTGTAGGCATTATTGTGTAATTGTTACCCTTACAAATATATATACATAATAATGATAATACATATGTCAAAGACTCAAAGCTAACAAAATAGTTAAGCCTCAAAATTATTCTCATACGATAAGAGCCTTGAAACCAGAGGCGGCTTTGAGGCCAGTTCGCCAAGGCAACTGCCTTGGGCCTCACATGCCAAGGGGGCCTCCACAAACAAAATACTAAGTATAAGTATTACTGTATTAGGTAGGTATAAAATACGAACTAATTATCCTAAGACTTGGTTTATGGCTCTAAACATCTGTTGAACTGGAACCTGCAAATCGGCAAGCAGCAAACTAGCGACCGGCTTCTTATTTCGATTGACCAGATTTTTGCTTTCCTCTGTACCTCTATTCTTCTTCCAAGGAAATACGAAGTATTTATTGATTTACACTTTACAGCAATTGGCTGTAAATTGCGTTTTGAAAAAAAAAAACAATTTTTAAGTTTTTACGTAATAATATTGGGTAATTGTTTATTTGGTATAATGTCATTATTATTAGTAATATATTATGTTTTGCACTAATATTTCATTATTGTAATTGGATTGGCCATTTAGTTATTTTGTCACTAATATTTCATAATCGTATATTGTAATTGACTAATAGTTAAATTTATTTATTTGTTGATTGTTTTCTATTAATTATTATTTACAAATATATACAAAAATATTTAAGTATTGGTGTGACGGGGAGTTTTTGTCATTTTCGGTCCTCCGAATATTGTGTCATTGACACTTTTGATACTCGACTTTTAATTTTTTTCAAATTTTAGTCCTCGATTATTGTGCTAGAGACATTTTTAGTCTTCAACTTCAAAGTTTCTCACACTTAGTTTCGTAAGTATTACTCCCTCCGCCCCTTATTACTTTGCTATCTTTCCTTTTTTAGATGTCCAATCAACTTTGCCACTTTACCTTTTAAGTAAAAAATTTGTTGTTCCAGTTAATTCTCTCTCCTCTGCACAAACCTCAATCACACAGTTTTTACTTTATTAATATCGTGCCGGTCAAACTTGGCAAAATTATTAGGGACGGAGGACGTATCAAATTGACACTTTAAGTCCTTCCGCTATGATTTTGACATAAAAATGTAAGAATAAAAATGTCATCTTTATATAATATAAAGTAACAGTCGTTGCACCACAACTGGAGGGAAAAATTCCGCCCAAATTAGGGTCATAATAGTAAATTAATGTAAAATAACTCCTTACCGCCTAATGTGTAGTCAGAATCTAATTAAGGTGGAGCATTTATTGTCGTATATTTTTTAATACTATGAGTTATGCATGCGGATGGTAATTGACATGGTAATATTACCATATATAGTGGGTGATGATCTTAATAATTACGGAGTACATGAATAATTAGACTGCCCACAATTTAGTACTCCGTATGCATGTACTGATGTACATAATTTAAATGTGATAATATGTTAGCGCAGCAGATATTCAATATTCAAGTATAGTTGAATGAATATTTTTATTTTATTAAATCTGTGGGCAGTTTTTGTAATAAAAATTGACTCCAGTTTCTCCAGTTTTGCTCTTTTTTAAGCACACATATTTAAAAAACGATAAATAGCCCTTTAGTAAAACAAGGAAAGTGGCGTGCAACACATTAATTTAATTCAAGTAAATTTTCCAATATTTATCCTTTTCAATTATTTTCAGTGATCAAAATGATTAATGAATGAATTTATCAGTGAGGAATAATAAGTCTAGATTGTTTGCCTTCTTCAAACGCAAATGGCTGAAATAAATTTATACCCAGAACTTATGTTTGCCTTCAAAAGAAATTGCACACTTGGCAAAGGATTAGGCGGCTAACATATACTCCGTATATAACTACGAATCAACCAAAGTGTAGAAGCCGTAAATCCATGTTCAGTATTCTCCATCGTATATATATAAACGGGTGTAAAATAGTTTACTACCCTCCACTCACATAAAATTTTTACATGGTACGATGTAATTTTTTTACATTAAGTAGTTAAAACAAACGGTGTAAAATGTTTACGTCCCCACGCTTTACACGCAAAGTGTTTACTTTACATCATAACAAACACCCCTAGGTGTGATCAGCATGTGCATAATTATAATATCCAAATTATCATAAAAACAGCCACATAAAAGACTATTTATATTTTTTGCAACGAACTATTCATATTAGAACAACAAAAGTTCTAATTTTAAAATTCACAATCGAATAATTTGAACATAAATAATACGGAGTACATTATTTCATAATTAAGAAATTTGATTTTGTTGAAATTAATTCAATATCAATACAATAATTCAACCATATAAATCAGGTCATAAATTATTTCATGCATTCGGAAAGTACGTGTGCTTCTAAATCATTCTTACGTTATTCTTGCTTTATTAATTCAATATCAACTACATAACTCACTTTTTCTTATCCCGCTCCACCTCCTCATAACCTCCTCATATCCTAATGTTAGTGAGACGAAAGTAGTTTATCTGAATGAATTGAAATTCAACTCAAATCTATATAATATAGAGTTGGTATATGTGAAATTGAGTTGTGATACGTTACCTACTTTATAAGAATTTAATTTCAATTATATATGAATAAACTCACAACTCGCTAATTATATATGAACATTTCTCCAAAATGAAAATAAAAAAATGTAAAATTATAAAACATAAGTACTATTTTCCCCCTAAATAGGGGCAATCATCTTGAAACTTTACAGTCATACATTTCAAGTATGTTAGCAATTACTTCTGTTTATGTAATAAAAACACAATACTAACATTTGGATGTTGTACACTAGCTGTTTTCATCCCGATTTAGAGCAATTTCATATTATTCAGTCCACATTATTTTTTATTTAATTATACCTGATCATAATAAAATACTTTGAATTTATTTTCTTAAGTATATCCTCATGATTTAATAATTTTTTTACTATCTTCAAAATCTTATGAACTTAATAATCTTCACATTGCTTTAGTGATTCGAATTTTCAATCCAATACATATTTTTCTGTCCCACAAATTAAACTTAGCCATATTCACTCCCCTTGATCCCTTGATCAATGTTGGTCAAATTTGACCAACAATATCTTTTTTATACGAAATTATTTGAAATTTGGAAATTATATGAAAATATTCTATTTTTAAAAATACTTTCATAAAAGTATAAACTTTATGAGTTTGACACAAATACAATACAGCGCAACTGCAATCATTGTCTAAAATTTATTATCATTGATCAAGAATATTAAATTTGACCAAATTTTATAGAACCTAAGGGAGTATAATGTCATAATATTGTCATTATTGGTGTGTTTATTATTTAACTTTTCCTACAAGAACGTGTCAAACCATTTTTATTGAACTATTTGACATGGAGTATTTATAAATTATTTATATACTACGTAGTACTTCGCACTATTTTATTAAGTTTAGAACTGTTTCGGTATATTAATGACACTGCTGTCATATTATTTGGGAATGTCATGCATGTTTTTAGACTTATCTTCTAAGTGTGCTATTATCTCTCCTTTTTAGACTACTTATTTATTTAAAAGATTTAAACAAGTCATTTTTTCTCTTCTAGATATATCCCATGCATCGCACAAGTACTTCGTCAAGTTATTATAATAGTTGAAGAACCAAAAGTGTCACTTTTATGAAAGCCGAGGGACTAAATATGGAAATTTTCAAAGAAAAGTACCAAATGTGTCTCTAGCATAATAGTTAAGGACTAAAAGTGGAAAAAATCAAAGTCGAGTACCAAAAGTATCAATGACATAACAGTCGGAGAACTAAAAGTAACAAAAAAAACCTTTGTAGTTACATTTTAAATATGGCTTTAATTATCACATTTTGTGTTTGTACTCATTTACCTTGTTTTTAGGACAATGTCTTGTATTAAAATAATTTTTGAATGTTCAACGTTTTTCGCCTGGGGCCTCCAAAATGTTAAGGCCGCCTCTGGACTGACCAGAATGTATTGGGATCTAAGGAAGCAGTTGAAACAAAAATTCTTCAATTTCTTTCTCTTAGAAAGGATTACATGCTACTTATAAAAACACAGTTCTGGTCTTCAATCCCATGTCACTGAAATCATGGAATTGGCAAGACCTGAAGTCTCAAAGGTTACATTACTCTCATAGTCCAAACACTGCGTAGCCCCAGGAATTGCTTGTGTCAACCGAAAGGGCTTCGACTCAGTTCCCTCCAGCTGAGAAGATGAGAAGGACCATAGCAACTGAGAATTGGCATGGAAGAGAAACAGAGAAATTAGCAAAGTTGACTACGGGATGACTTGTGCCAAGTTCTTTTATAAGAAGTGTCTTCCCCTTTAGTACATAAGCAACAAAAGTAGTGTCTATTGGGGATGACTTAAACCAAGTTCTTTTATAAGAAGTGCCTTCTCATTTCGTAAATAGGCATTGAAAATTACGCCCTCTCCCAAATTGATAGTCCGATTCTTTTTAGCACAAAATTTATGAAAGTGAGATTAAGTTTCTCAATTTCCCTTGAGTAAAAAATTACCTCTTTAAAAAGGAGATGACTTACCCCTAAAAGCGAGGTTAGAATGGACATTTTATACAAAAAATGTTATGCCAAAAAGGAAGTGATACTATCAATTTAAGACACCTCGGAAGGTATAGTTTCAAAGTTCTTTCCTTTAGGAAGTTTTATTACCTGAATCGGATCACTGCGTAAGAAGTTCCGTTGTAATCTCCGCCCATCGGGGAGGCGAATACTAACTCGGCAAAGGAGATTTCGATCACCCTTAGGTTCTTCAGGAAGTGGCGGATAAACAGGCTTCTTCATTATGTTTGCTATATTTTTTCCTTCAATATTGGGTTCACTGGATTCTTTTGCAGCATATATATTCGCATCTTTCATCCCCTCCATGGAAGCAGCCAATGCTAGTTTCAATTCATCATCTTCCTCTATAGCTTGATCTGCAGGGACCAGTCCATTACAATGATCTTTCATATGTATCATACTAAAAACATAAGGTAAAGCACTGCAATCTGTAAAAACTCTTGATATTCCATTAAGCTTCTCGATTGCTGACCAAATCATAAACCAGTCAGTAAGTCACCAGTGCATACATTGGTTTTCAAAGTAAATATCGTGAGCACCGATATGGGCAGAGAAATTCTCAATGAAAAATTCAGAGAGTGCAAGAATCACCCTTCGAGACAATAAAGAAGTATGGCTCGCATTTCCACTTGAGGAAATATTTTGTCAAATTCATAGCATTTCCTGAAGCTTTTAGAGCTCAAAACTTGATTATAACATTATTACCACTAGCAACCTGGGATTAACTGTCTAAAAGCTTTGTAAATTAATAGAAGGTGGTTAGACAGTTAACCGGGACTTGGGAGAAATAGAGATTAGCTGTCTCGTTTCTTGGGAACTCTCTGTACCCTTTCCACCATTAATGAAAGCTTGTTAGTTTCTTGAATGTTATTTTCCTTTCTGTGAATTCATTACCTACCTGCAAGAGTTCTATCATGTTCATGCAATGAGCATTTATTTATAAGCAACGTCTGAAAAAGAAATGCAAAATCAACTGGAATACATTTAAATATTAACTCACATTTTCTCCACTTTCATCTTTACTTCTCCTGGAGTGTGATTTTTGGGGGTGGAGGTTCATAATAATCCATATAGAAGACAATAAAAAAGACAAAGTACCTTGAACTTGCAGAGGAGGTGCTTGAGGGCTTTCTCTGGGTCGCTTATGAGATTGACTGACATGATCTGATGGGCTATCATCCATGAATGGTAGCAGATCCTAAACCATCACAACATCTTTTTATCATGAGTAAATTGCACAGAAGTCAATAGATTTAGATTTTTCTTTCTTATTTTAAGATAGTTACACATTTATGCAATCACTGGCACTTGAGACAACACAAACCAAATAAAGAAAATGCACCTCAAGCAAAGTATCAGGTTGGATCATCCCACGCCATGATCGCATCTTTTGGCCTGTTATAGGGTCAACCACCAGGACAACGGGAATTGAATCTAATCTATAATAGGTACAAACCTTCCTGCCTTCTTCTGTATCATCATAAACCTGTATGGAACAAGAGTCAACAATCATTCACTAAAAGTAAATGGATAAGTAAAGAACTATAGTGACTGCAGATGATGAACTCAGTTGAGTATGTAAAGCCATAGTAAGATGAGCCCTGCAACCTACAACCATTTTGTATTCAAAACTATTAAAATGCAAAGTTTACACATCATACTCTTTTGGTCAACTGGTCCTCCCTTTGAAAAAAACAATTTCACTTCTAATATTCTATTACCTCTGTCCCACTAAGATTGGGACATGAGGAGGTGGTGTGGTTATTTAAAAAAAAAGTGGGTTTATGTGGTTGATATTGAGTTGATAAAGTAAGAACAAAGTAAGAATGATTTAAAATCACACAAATTTTACCAAATATGATATGGGACAATCTTAGTGGGACGGACGGAAAAGGAAAGATGGGACAATTTCAGCGGGCAGAGGGAGTAACATTTATATTTTAAATAGTAACTTTGTTGTGTAATTCATAATAAATCTTCAGTACATGATATTCCCATATATAGAAGAAACATGTATGTGCCAACTAATACAACCACGGTTATTAAAATCAAGATCCTAGCACGGATCGGACGGGGTCTAGGAGGTCATAAATCAGACCATAAGATCCTACCATGCAATACACACACACACATACAATTCAATTCTATGCAAACACCGGATTAATATTATTAAATATAATAATAACAATAATAATAATAGCAAAAACATAATGTCAAGACTCGAGGCAATAATATAAAACACTTAACATAACAATGTCAAAGATAAACTCCAAAACATTTCATCATTATACCCCAGTGCCGCAAAGGCTCCCACGCCTTCAGTGGGGTAGGGGGGTCGGATGTATGCAGTCTTACCCCTGTACTAGAGCACAGAGAGACTGTTTCCGGATGACCCATAGTGAAAATTGCGTCGAAAATTGCATGGATGACTGACTGCTGCTTCATAACAAAGAAGCGCAGACAGTTTAGTAAGCCATTTTGCTCTATTCCATCGTATTCCAAGCCAAAAAATATTGAGCCTTTGGCTCCATTGCAAATGATGGAAAAACTCCAAAACATTTGACATAAAAAAATAAATCTTCATATAAAATCATGACTTATTGCTATCAGAACTCAAAACAATTGAACAACTAAACTTACTAAAGAAGCAGACGACTTTCAAAAAAGAAAACAACTAAAGCGGGGGAAGCGTAAGACACAGAGAACACAGAGAGAAAAGAGAAGAGATGAAGAAAACGACGAGGAACAGTGATTTAAAATGGACGAAGGAGGGAAGATTCATGGTTAGTCGGATGTTTATTTATTTTTAAAACTTGTCGTTCCAGACTTCCGTCCACCCTTTGTTTCCCGTTTTTTGAGCTGAGAAGTCACAGCTCGGTTAGATCGACGATTTGTACGAGTTACATTTCTACTTGTCAATCCGGCATTCCCAGGCCATTTTCCAATCCTAGCACCAATCCAACTCGACCTTCCCGTTTCCGATCACAAAATCGTACGATCCTGCGAGTTAGATCACGATCCTAACAACCTTGAATACGACTGACTTTTCACGACTAACTTTTCACGACAAACCTTATTACAAGTAATTCGCAACTGAGTACAGAGTACCTAACCTTCTAACTTATAAACTTCTAAATTGCAACCAACTCCAACAGTAATCCCATGCAAAGTCAAGCAAGAGTATGCTTAAGATGATTAAACCCACAAGGAAAGGAATTGGTTGGAAGGAAAATTTTCATACTGCGTAGTTTGCTTGGTTGAAAAGAAATTGTAAGGAACAAGTGTTTCAGATTTTTGTTTACATAGGATTTTGGAATAATCAGCGAAGTATGGATAATTAGATGGATCTTTTCATTTTTGAGGGGTCAATCATCCTATCTGGGATATTTCAGGGGCTTATTTAACAGTTACTCATAGATTTGTTAAACATATCATAGATCCCTAGGTAATTACTCTGAGCTTTCTCGGAGTATAAAAAATCATATGTTCTCCGTTCTTAACTAGATAACACTCTGACTTGTCTTGAAGATGACTTTCCTCTGCTGTTAACCGCTTGGAAATAAACACGAACTGGTTTTGCAGTTTTGATGCTTCTCTACTGTACAAGATATATTAAAAGCATTTTCATAACCATTACTCTATTAACTGATCTCATAACTTTATTGTAAGACTCATAAATTTATCCTTTCATAGTTTGTAACAATGTTCTAAAATACAGTCAAATGAAAACCTAGCCGGAGGTGGTGGCTATGCAAATTGCGGCTCCTGAACCATAGATGGTTCCTTTCCACCCTGATTTTGCCCTAATTGGCTTGATTAGACGGCGCAGGGCGGCCCGAGTGAGTGCACACCTTTTTATTTTTAAAAAAAAATTAATTTTGGGGGTAAATGATGTTTTTTCATTCATACATATGATAACCCTTAACAAAAGTATGTCATCAGTAGATTAGTAGATACATATTACATAAAATGTTAGTAGGATAATACTGTCTCCTTTTTTTCTGTGTTGACTAGTTGAGAACTTTGAGCTCCTTCGAGCCTGGTTTGTCGTACAAAAACCTTTGCACTTTTGACTACACATTTCCTTCAGCATTTTCATGCTCCCTTTGTCTTACTCACATCTCTAATTCGTCTTAAAATAATATCTACTTTCCTAATTTAAATAACACTAACTGCTTACATTTCTGGATATATCTTAGCCTCTATGTTTTTGAAATGATATGACAATTCCCACTTGAGGTAAAACATTATGAACTGCATTGCATTTCACGTATTTTCACCAAAAACAATGTTAAAATAACAGGTGCCTAACTTGAATAAGGAGTATCCCATTGGGTTTGTGTTCCCTAATTTTTCAAATGTTGGTACATGTCAATTTGTCCTTAACTGCCGCCGTTACATCATCATTCAATCATGTAAGTACCTCTGTCTATTGTTGTCATACCCTTCGATTACCAAAAACCAATTTGAGGCTACTCCACAAAATGCAACTATTCATCTTTATCCAAGTAGCACGACTAGTTAAATGTTCATTAACTAAGACATTTAGAAGGCTGAACTGAAAAGTTTAATCATTAACATAGTTAAATTCTAGACATCACATCATCCATCCCAATAAAAAGGAAGGGTTTAGATGACCAGGCCTGCCAAAAGATCAAGTTAGATTTTATTGTTTGAGCAACAGCTTCATTGGCCCATGTATCACGATTAAGCTGCAAAAAAATTGTTAAAAGAAAATCAGCAAGTGTGTAGCAAGACAACATTATGTTTCAAAGAAAATATGCATGTTAGAGGGCTGGAAACTAAAGATTAAGATATCTTTTAAATATGTGGGCCACCATTTACTACTTCTCAATTTCTCATTCATAATTGCACAAAACAACTCATACTCGTTCAGGTAGGACTTGAGGAAATATTCACAAGTACAATTTTTTAATTGATTTAGAAAAAAATTGTATACTTTAGTTATCCATTGGTTTAGAATGAAATTCGCCAACAGTTGTAAAAAATGTTTATTCACAGAACTAGGTGTACGATACTTGGTTAACCAGGTTCCTTTTTACACCAACTAGGAACTAGGAAGTGGATGCAGTCATGCAGATGTTAAGAAGAAGAAAACACCACCATGTGTGAGCTGAACTCTGTGGTAGACTGAAGGTTCACAAGAAGCCATTTGTTCTGAACTCTAGCAGCATCTTTTGCCTGCAACTCAAATAAATTTATTTTTGTGAACAGCTTATCACATTGATACAAATATAGATTGCAAAGCAAACTCAACCTATATGATTTGAATTTTGATTATTATCGTCTATAGAGATTAAGATATCACATTAATTTATCACCCATTTGTGTATGTGCACGTCTGTCTAGGGTTATAAAAGGTATGTAAGTTTACATGAAAGCCGCAGAGCAAAAATATGTGCACCAGCAGGATAATTCAATTATTTGTTCGAACTTCAAAAGCAATTAATAACCTTTCTAGTACAAAACAGCCTAATTTACCTTTTCAAAAGATCCATGGTACATCAAAGCAAAAGGGGGGCGATATAAAGAGGCAAGATTATCTGCTCTAGTGTTATCTGCTGCGGAAGTAGATCCTTTGTCTGCTTCCCATACTCCTTGATGTTTCATTTCCTCCTGAAAATTGCGGAAGGGGACCACTTGACGAATTTCACGTGCAGAACCACCCACCACCGGTAGTCTAAAGATAGTGATAACAGTGATCAAGAAATGAAATGATAGCAATACTGAATAATTTATGATTCCTATTAACACTTTTTATAAATAAAAAAAACTCAGATTCCAATACACAATGGGAGTAGCTGCACTAGAAGCATATGTATGGTTATATTACTTTTGCTTTAAGGAGACAACAAAGATGTTCCTTCCATAGGTACTTTATAACTTTTATACTTTAAAATCTTAACTTGAAGTCTTTTATGCATCACCAAGTACGAATGGAGAAAACGCTTGAAGCTTCAAAGAGGACAGCATGTATAGTCCGCCGAAATTCATAAATGAAGAATCTCATGATTTATACAGTGCCTGTTTGGAAACTGCTGAAATGGTTTGTGTAGCTGAAATGACATTGTGTATACTACTTTGGCTGAATTGGCTAATAGGATTATTAATTACGACAAAGGGTTTGTAATTTTCTGTCACGAAAAAGGTATAAGATTGCAAAAGAATTTATGTTAAGAATTTAAATTTTCAACAATATATATTAAAACCAATTAATCAATGACTAGTTACATACAATCAGGTGAAGCCGTGAAGGAATAAATACATGGCATTTAAAAAAAAAACAGAAAACAGAAAAATGTCAAAACTAGGAAAAACACTAGAGAGCTTAACAGAATTAGCAAAGATTTTAATGATAAAGTTAGGAAACAACAGGCACAATATGAAAAAAATAACTATCAGCCAGTGCCCAATTTGGAGTATTAAGGAAACGAATTTGTGGGGTCAAGATTTACTTAGGAAGAAAAGAACATGTTAGCCACACATTCTTTCCTAAAAATAAAATGAGAATATTATTTAGGGACAGAGCAAAAAAGAGTTAGAAGAGTGAAGAGGGAAGGAGCTTGACGAGGTATACCCCAAACCATCTGATACAACCTAGAGGTTATGGAGGATTGGCCTAATGTCTAAGATTAGCCCAAGTTCTCACCCTTCGTCTCATGACTCTCATCACTTTACTGGCCAGACGGGTATGCCTTGGCCCAGATGCCTGCACCCGGCACACATATAACTTTTAGTATCCCATATCGCCCGGCCTCTCAACTCATTCGGTTTACGGAGAGAATTTGCAGAGTTCACAAAAGCATCAGAATTTGCATTTTCTTCGGTCTTCCACTCTTCCCAATGAGATGCAATAACAGATTTGGGTATGGATAACTCTTTGACTCCAAGTCTGTAACTATCATATATCTAAATGATCTGTTTTTTATTCAGTATTAGGAATGAGATGCAATAACAGATTTGGGTACGGATAACTCTTTGAGTCTAAGTCTGTAACTAACACATATCGAAATGATCTGTTTTTTATTCAGTAATAGGGAACTAGTACTCCCTTCTGAAGTTCTGATGTACCCAGGAAAAAAAACAGTAACTTTCACCACACATTACCAAATTCAAATATAGTAGTTTGGGTTTCATTTAAAATAAGCTAGTGTTCCTTTTAAAGTTAAGTTCCACTGAGTGCAATAATTTTGGAAACAAATAAAAGTGTTATTAACACTTTAGGTCAAATTTGAAGAAGAAATTTATTAACTCTTTAACTTCAGTGTCGGCAACTCTTAAACAGGAAGGCGGAGAGGGGATAAGATTGAAAACCTATGAAAATTTATATTTAATGGCACACAAGATTCAAATAAAACCAACAAAGCTAAAACAAGCACCCAGCATCACAAAGATTGATAATAAAAAAAATTAATACATACTGAAGGCAAAGACGTACCCACGAAGCGCAGCAGTATCATAAAGAACTTCTTTTATTACAGGCAAAGGTGGCCTTACATCATCACCATCAACTTGCCTTCCACTTTCATCCCCTGATTCTTTTCTAGCTCCGCTAATTAAAATTTTAAATATAATAATGAATATATGAAAAAAAAATATCAAGCACATTTGTTATATAAGTGCTTGGCAGCTTCCAAACTAATCTGCTGATGTGAACATGTTTCGTTCCTTTTATGCGTCCCGCCGGCCCTTACACGAGACACACTCACATCATCCACCTAACAAGCTGCCATGCAATATGAATCCCCCTCCACCCGCCAAAAGATACCTCCAATTAGGATCAGGCAAAGGTATAGTGCTTGCCGATGGGGAAGTCAATGATGGTGCAGCTGCTTCTCCATCATTGCCAACATAAAAAAGCTGAATTGCTTCATCAAGCTTCCAACTTGTTGCCTTTGATAAAAAAAGTTGACATATAAATTTTATGCAAATGAAAAATACGAAGGAGGTAAGCTATGAAGAATATCCCATAATACAACAACAACAACATTACCCCAGTGCCGCAAAGGCTCCCACCTATGGTGGGGTAAGGGGGTCGGATGTAAGCAGGAGAGGCACTAAGAATAACCCACAATAAAGGAATAAATATACCTTTCTGCTATAAAGCTGATAGCAAATCATGAAAATGCCTATCTTGCAATTTTGATTATGATCAGTGCAAGAAAAACAAACCATAGACAAATTTCCAAATATATCATCCTAATATTAGTATATGAGAGTATGGATTTGAAGAGAACGAAGTGGAAGGCGCATATTCGTGTGGACAATTGATCTCTTCTCTTTCTATATCTCTTTTATCTTTTATCTATCTTATGTTCTTATATTATTTTTATCTTATCCATCTTATCTTATCTATGTTATCTTTTTATTTTTCTTATCTTTCTTCTTTCTAGCTCTGATATAATGGATAGATTCATGTTAGCCAACCCCAAGGAAGAAGGCTTGGATGTTGTTGTTGTATCATCCTAATATCAGTACACTACTCATTGCTAATGCGTTTCTGCAGGTCCAAGTAATTGGCTTATTAGAGTCTTTGGGCAAATTCAAAGTATCAAAGAGTGGAGTATGTTGGAACGTCTAACTTCCAGCATTAGAAAGTCTCTCATATATGTTAAATTTAATGCTTTTTCTTGTACCTAAAAAATGCTAGCTTTGGAATGCAGCATGCTGTCTATTCATCCACGAGCTTAAAGGTATATGCTTTGCATTCCACGTTTAATATAATCCCCCCTTTTCTTAACCCGGAAGGTCAGTTTAATATAATCCCCTATTAAACCGTAGCCCACTCATCTTATCTTGAGAAGCCAAAAGAACCATTCTTTACAGAGTCAATTAAATACACATATAACAATGACAGTTTGGTCATGATAGCATTCGCATAAGCGAAAGTGCATGTCGGGGAGAGAGGAAGAGATAAATTGGACCTGAAGAAACTGGCGGGCGGTATCGGCAGACTGGCCGGCTGTGATCTCGAGGAAGGAAGTGACTAAGCTCTGCTGGTCAGACGCAGACAACGGGCCGTCCATTGACTCTGCTTCAGTTTGGGATTTAGAGCTGCACAAACCCTAGATCAAACGACGAGAAAAGATTGGGAATCAGATAGATTCAGGAAACCTGTCACCCACGGGTGAGGAAACTATATAGAGTAAGTAATGTTATTTGTCGTCCTCCCAGCTCAGATCAGATTCTACTGCGTCGGCCTCTTCCTTCTTCAACCGTCTCACGTTTGAGGGACCATGTCTAGTAGTTTTTGTAAAGATTTATATACTCCTTATATATAAACGGGGTATATTTAAAAAAACGGGGTATACTCTTCAACGAAATAATATCTCCCTTTCGTCACATATTTCTTTCCAAAAAAAGAAAGAATACATTTATTTTGGGACAACCCAAAAAAGAAAGTAAGACATGTAAAATGGGACGGAGGGAGTGGTAGTAAAAATAAAAATTGTACAATTGAAACTTTTAGAAATAATGGCGTAGATATTAGTCGCACACTTTCAAAAGGCAAATATATGAGTGGTTTTTAATTTTCCAGAAATCTGACTTCATTTAACCACTCTTTTCCGTCTCCTTCCTGCTCACATAACAGGGACCCTCCTGCGCACATAACAGAGAGCTTCTCTCTTCAACCATGTCCATCCTAGAAATCAACGATGGTGATGACCGGTGCCGACCACGTCACAGTCAGACTCGCCGCCAACTCTATCTTCGTCGCAGCCAAGCTCGCCGCCAACACTGCCTTTGTCTCAACCCGGCTCGCCGCCAACGCTGCCTTCGTCGCAGCCAGGATTGCTGCCGCTGTCTTTGTCAATGTTAATCCCTACCGCCGCCGTTGTCTTCGTCGAGGTCTGCACTCTTCTTCTTCTTCTTCACCTTACTATGGCCGAAATCGGTGGAGATGAACAGATCTAGATCTGTTCGGAAATGACCTGCAGATCTGCAACCATCGTCTATCCTGCGGCTAGAGTTTGGCTACAAGTCCGACGGCTAGGGTTTCTGAGGCGGCGGATTGGTGCGCGGCAGCTTGGCGGCAGAGATTGGGAGGTTGAGCGGATAAATGGCGGGCTGTGCTGGTTGAAGGGCTATGGGGCTGGTGGTGTTGGGAACCAATTGTGCAGGGACTGGTGGTGGTGCAGGGGTTGTGGCGGGCGGGTTAATCTGTGCTGGTCGGCCTTCCGGGTGGTGGCGGTGGTTGCCGGATAACTGGTGCGAGGTTGGTTAGGGACAGTTCAGGGGTTGGGCAGGGGGTGGGGGACAGGGGTTTGGGTGGTTGTGATGTGGGGAGGGGGTGGGGTAGGGAGCTGGGTGGGAACTGGTGCATATGGCAGAGGTGGGCAGGGATTGTGGCTAGGTGGGGGTTTGGTCTGTGCATAGGGGGCTAGGGGGCGGGGCATGAGCAGAGGTGGTGGCTCGGGACTGTTGGGTTGCTGTTGGTGCCTGGTCGCCGGAAAAGAAGCCAGAAAATTTCATGGCGGCTGCGTCACTGTGGCGGCGTCACTATGGCTACAGTGACACAGGCGGCGACTATAGTGACACGGGCGGTGGCCGCAGTGACACGGGCGGTGGCCGCAGTGACACGGGCGGTGGCCGCAGTGACACGGGCGGTGGCCGCAGTGACACGGGCGGTGGCCGCAGTGACACGGGCGGTGGCCGCAGTGACACGGGCGGTGGCCGCAGTGACACGGGCGGTGGCCGCAGTGACACGGGCGGTGGCCGCAGTGACACGGGCGGTGGCCGCAGTGACATGGGCGGTGGCCACAGTGACATGGGCGGTGGCCACAGTGACATGGCGGTGGCGGTAATGACATTTGATAGTGACATTATAACAGAATAGTGACATTAAAATCTGGGAATCACATTAATATGACCTTTTTGATCACTTTTTTGCCCCTTTTTAAAAGTGCTCACTTTTTTGGTAATTGTTCAAAATTTAGTAATATTCAAATAAAAACCCCAAACTTTTATATAGAGTGAAATAAGTAGAGAATAGAAATTATTTACTTAAGAAAGAAAGGCGTATGGTTTTTAAGAAAATAAAAAATTAACAAAGATTAGTTGGACGGAGGAAGTACTTGGTACATGTGTTTAAAAGTTAAAACTAGCGCTTGTGCGCGCAAAGCGAGTGAGAATATTTGCTCAATGTTAATCATGCTCTTTTTATAAGAGACTATTATATGTTAGATTGCTATGAATTTTTTAAATAATGTATAAAATTATCTTAAACTTTTGATTAGTTGTTTGATCAATTATATTCTCAATTCACCAAATATTAAAGGAAATTTTGCCTACATTTTTTAAAGCTATGTGATTCAGAGAACTGGCTATATTGTTTTGGTTTAATTATGAATTAATTGAAGTGATAATAGGATTTTATAATAAATTGTGAGAACAATGTTATTGAACACACTAAACTATGTGAATATTGAGCTAGTATATATAAGTGTAGAAGTTGAGTGAGTGTAGAAATATATAAAAACGAATTATCGGTGTTTTACAAGCAAGGAGATATCTTGTCTAGGATTGATCTATTTCTTGTGGACTTATATGCATACATTTTTTGGGTAGTTTATTTTATGTGCTTTCAAAGGCGGTGCTATTTTATGTCCTATTTTATAATCATACCATGAAGTTATTACTATTTCACATTGGCTCTTCCCTTTTGTTAGTACCCAATTTTGATAGATTTTGATGATGTCACTATAATAAACTCCTGTATGATTCATGTGACCATATCAAGTTAAAAGAAGTACTAAAAATAATAGAAGAGTACAGTATTCAAGTGACAAATTACTAATGTACAATTTTTGTACCAAATAAAGCTTTACTGGAAATATAAAATGTAATAAGGTAAATTTGTTTACCTTAAAAAGGATATTTAAAATCCAACCAGTATAAATTTATTTGATATAAAGATTAAACAGTCACTATCAACAGTCCATTGTGACAAATCCAAATGTACAACTTTTTGTGCCAAATAAATTGCACTGGAAATATAAAATACAATAAGGTAATTTTCTTTTACCTTAAAGGATATTTAAATCCTACCAGTACAAATTTATTTGATACAAAAAGCCTAAAGTCACAAACTTACTAAGTTCTAATTAGAACACGGTATACACAATACAAGGGATAAACTATACACTATACGCATATAGTTGCAGGCAAAGTCAAAACCTATTAATAGATGAATAGTGCATGGAAGGCCTAAGGTATGGGTACGCATACTGTATCCTGAAGATAAACTTGCAAGTAGCGCTGAGAAGATAAAGGAAATCTCCTTTAACCTGCTCCAAACACAAGAAGACGAAAGTACAATACATCCAACGTCAAAGATTAAATCCTCTCAACCAACGGAGGGGATTAATCAGCCGAAGATGCCTATAAATACAGGCATAAGCATGAGTTCAAAACCAAGTTTTTGAGCCTTCTAAGTAGAGTAAATAATACCGAGCATCCAAGAGATATCTAGCAAAAGAGAAAGTGCTTGATTCAAACTTTGCTCTCTGCTTAGACTCATGTTTCAATAAACTTCCAAGTTAGAATTCACATAGCTACATTCTGGAAGTTTAGTTCTTAGTTGGAGGCTATAATGTTTGTTATATCACAAATTGTTGTAAACACTTAGAAGGACAGTGTTATCTAGTCCTAAGTGTGGATGAATATAATAAAGTACCTTTTGATCCTCACTGGATCAATTGAGAAAATCTAAGGATTGAGTAGCTTGGAGTGGTGTGTACTCTTAGTGAAACACCTTTCAATCTAGGCTAGTTATGTGGTTATAGCCAGATTGGCACTAAGTGTATTGGGTTTAATACTTTAGTGGAAATCCATCTGAAAGGGGGTAGGACTGAACGTAGGAGGATTACACCACCTCTGAACCAGGATACATCGTGTGTTGATTTATTTCCAGTCAACAAAGCACACACCAAACATTTTTTTAATCAAGCAGTAGCTTGAGCAGTCACCTCGGCAGCAATCTACTGCCCACCCTACTGCTCACCCTACTGCTAAGTAAACTGCTCGGCTAAACACTTTCTTAAAGACATCTCAATGTTTTAGAAGTCCTCTACACTCTTCATGAATATTCTAGTCTAAACTGAAGTATCAAAGTTATATATTTCCTTCGCAGTAGTCTCAGTTGTACTCTACCCTTACCTCACTACTTAGTCCACTGCTTATCAAACTGCCAAGTCAACTGCCCTCATAGAAAAGTTCAAACCTCACTCAAATGCTCCACTTGAGTTCCTTTGAGATCATGAAACTTATCTAACTGTCCTTCAGACTTTTTCTTTGTTCACTTACTAAATAGAAAGTTGTCATACATTGTTTACATAGAGGTCAAGACTTCCGTTGTGTATCTTTAATCTCTCAAAAGGTTATTGATCTTCACATCTAGTAGGGAAAGTTTTTAAACCAGAGAAAAAGCTTTAAAAGTCCATTCACCCCCCCCCCCCCCAGACTTTTACCTCTATCAGAGACCATCACCTTTAGACTTTGAAGGTTAAAAGTGTCTGCTCCTACGCCTATTTATAGTACTCTACGTTGAGAATATCTATATCCAAGGTGCAGACTAATTATTTAGATTTTAGAATTCTCCACACACTCTAGAACTCTTGGAAAAATGCTTGGTGTAAACCATTTTGTATACACCACTTGCAAAAATTGTCTGTCTACGCATAAAGAGTTATCTATGTATACTGCAAACTTTGTCTGCTTAGACAGACAATTTGTGTGAATGGTTTACACAAAATTGTGTACGTACACCAAGCATTTTTTAGAACTCTTAACACCCTTCCACTCTCTTCCATAAGGTTTTAGAAGTTCCACACATATTCACAATATTCTGCACGGTTCTGAACTATTCCACAAGCTTTTAGAGAGTTTTTTATTTCTCTAGATTTCTCATTAATATTCTAGAAAGTTCTACACATAAAAGAATCCAACATAAAAGAATGTTTATACTACGTATATATATACGGAGTATAATATAGGGATTGGTTGTGATTAGAACTATTTAGTCGTTTCAAGATGTTTAAATGAACTTAATCGTAATTGGTGCATGCAAAAAGAGATATTGTTCATGTCAGCATTCGACAACAAAAAAAACTCAAAAAATCATTAATACTAATGCGCATAATATACCTTATACAATACGTAGTATCAAATGTTGTAGTGAACAATGTGAGTTCTTCAGTTTTGCTTGTATTTGTAAGCATACCGTAGTTCATTTGAATTAAACATTTATAGCGCGTTTGGTAATACTAAAATTGACTAAGTCGACTGAATCTATTAAAAATTTCTGATTGAATCATATGAATTCGCCGAATCTCCCGAATGATGGAATATTTATATTTTAAGTATATTCTATCTATTAATAAAACAAAAAAAAACATGAGAATAGCTAAATTTGTCTTCCACAACAACCTCAACCAATTTGGCCAAAAAAGTAACTCTAATCTTATTCATTTTGATTATTACAGAATTTAACGCGTGAAATCAAATGTTATGTGTTTGATAAAAAAGTTGAGACAAAATTAATAAGATGAAAATAGATGTTTTGAAACAAGATCTTAAATTGTGCAATTGGGATCTACTCCATGTTTTATAAATAATGAAATTCACACAATTATTTTATTGTGGTATGAACATTTTTTTAGTATGGAAAAGAGGTAAGCTTAAAATGAGTAGTGAGTGCGTTCTATACTTTAGCTCTGATATTAAGTTATACTACATCTGTCTCATTCAAAGGTTTTTCACTTTTGCTTGTATTTGTAAGCACGACGTAGTTGATTTGAATTAAACATTTAAAGTGTGTTTGGCAATACTAAAATTGACGAAATCGGCTGAATCTATTTAATTTTTTGATTGAATCAAATGAATTTGCCGAATCTCCCGAGTTATGGAATGCTTATATTTTAAATATATTATGTTAGTAAAACGAAAAAACAAGAAAATAGCTAAAAATTTGTCTTCTACAACAACCTCAGCCAATTTGGCCAAAAAAGTAATTCTAATCTTACTCGTTTTGATTATTACATAATTTAACGCACGAAATCGGGTCTTATGTGTTTGATAAAAAAGTTGAGAGATACAATTAATAAGATCAAAATAGAGGTTTTGAAACAAGCTCTTAAATTGTGCAATTGAGATCTACTCCATATTTTATAAATAATGAAATTCACACAATTACTTTCTTGAAGTAAGAACATTCTTTTAGTATGGAAAAAAGGTAAACTTAAAACAAGTAGTGGGTCCCTTCTATATTTTAGCTCCAAAGTGATCATATGATTAAGTTATACTACCTCCTTCCCATTCAAAGATTATCGTGCACTATTCTCCAGTCAACGTAAAACCTTCTTAATCTTTTACTTATATATTCAACATTTATCAAATTCCAATTTTTCTTTTGCGACTTTATAAGATTTTTAATGTAGTTTTTGACTATGTAAATTTTATTTAATAAACAAATTCTAACTACATACAAGAAACAGTTAACTTTATAATCAGTCAAACATCGCAAACCGTGTGAGAACCTTTCTACGGGATGCAGGGAGTGCCATTTTCTTGACATTAACTTGTAATTCGACATTTACTCCTCCGTCCCATTTTACTTGTTCTACTTTCCTTTTTGTGTTGTCCCAAAATAAGTGTCACATTCCCCTTTTCGGAAAGAATTATGTGGTCTACAACACTTCACTTTATTATATTCAAATCTCAATTACAACTTTTACCTTTTCAACCATTTTATTAATAATAATGTCAAGTCAAAGTAGGACACATAAAATGGAGCGGGGGTAGTATTATAGTATATAAGTTTATTTAATAGTTTTACTTGTATGTTTAAAATTTCCAAATCTAACTGTTAGACAAGGTCCATATATCCGAGAAATTGTACTCATCGTCAAATCAAAGTTGCTCAAAACGCAAAGTGATCGCATGGTTTGTGGTGATGGTTTTTGTCATTATGGCTTATTTTGATGTATATTGGGCAGGTTGTCAAGACTGTTCTCGTCCGACTACTGGTTATGCGGCTTTCCTGGGTTCGAATTTAATTTCTTGGAGATCCAAGAAGCAGCCTACGGCCTCCAAATCTTCCACTGAAGCTGAATACAGGGTCATTGATTATACTGTTCAGGACACGCTATTTATTCGATCTGTTGGCTGACATGTGTATTTTCATTTCAGCGCCTGTTCAGCTCCATTGTGATAATGTATCTGCATCATAATTAGCGGTGAATCCCATATAGCATGATCGCAGCAAGCACATCAAAATTCATTACCATTTTGTTCGAAAACGTGTGGCTCATGGGGATCTTGTTGTTAAATATATTCCCACACAGTTGCAGTTAGCTGATATACGATAGTATTTATTAAGAATTTGTCTAGTCAGCGTTTTGAATTTTTACATTGTAATCTGCGCGTTGTTCCCCTGCACAGATTGAGGGTGTAATAATGTATTATCTAGGGATTATTATGTAATTTTCATAACTCTATTTTATTATAAATATGATGCTAAGGCACCCAAGAGGGTAGGCCATTATTTCCTAAATTATATTCTTATGTATAAAATCTAACATCAAAATTATGCAATTTGGTTATCTGACTACGAGTATAACACATCAAAAAAATTAATAAATGAGACAGTTAGAGATATTTATTAAAAAAATTGATAAGTAACATTCGAGAATACTTATGTACCTAAACCGGCCGAGTGGAAAAGTAGTAAAATCATTATTTGCTATAAAAAATTAAATTAAGGAAACATGTGAAAGTTATATCTTATGCTACGTCTGAAGTAACACTTTCATTTTTAATTTCGAATCACATTTTCAATAGACTAAAACAAACTGCAATTTTTAAAATTCTTTCACTTACATGATATAGTATCAAACAAAATTAACAAAATACTATCAATGAATCATGGGTTTACATGAGATAAGTAGATGAAAAGAATCATGGGTTTACATGAGATAAGTAGATGAAAAGAATAACATTTATGCGCTAACTCTTAATGAATCAAAAGAAATTGTGATGTTTGTTCTTAATGAATTCTAGTGTGTATGTTTAATTTCAAACACTTAAATCCGTAGCTTGTAGAAGTTGTTGAATAATGAATTAAAAGTATAAAAAAATTACTAGTATATAGGTTTGATTTTATTTTTAAATTTTTATAGATATATAACGTACATATAATTTTTATAAATATATATAACTGAGAAATTTATGAGCCCCAAGGAACAATGGGTCCTAGGCGCATGCCCCATTGCCCATGCACGGTCCTGGCGGCGGCGGTGGCCGTATGCATGGTGGTGGCAGTATTAGGATTGAAAGAAAAAAAAAATCTAACCATTAATACCATGTGAAATAATGAGAAAAGATATTACAATAGTAATCATGACCGATATATTTATAATTGAGAAGTTGCTAAAATACCAAATATTCTTGAAAAGATATTAGGTCATTTTAACTATCTTAATTAATTTTTTCTTAATTTTTATATATTTTGAATATATTTTTTCCCACAATTTAACAAAAACAGTGTCATTTTTTCATTCATAATTTAAAAGTTGGCAAACTGGCTTTTAAGTGAAACGTACGTTAAGGAGGTCGGAAATTTTTGTCCGGGGACGACCTCCCTGTCTTCTTCCCCAGTCATTGTGTTGCCCAGTTGACTTTCAGTTCTGACTTCTCAATACAAATACAGAGAGCGAGAGAGTAGAAATGCCTAGCAAGAGAGTTCTTCTCTCTATCTCGGCGTTAAATTCAATCACTCTTTACCTCTATTTCTTCTCCGACACCGATCACTTCCGCCATAAGTCCCCCACGAACAACCACTTTCATCTGGATCGAAACCATTCTTGCTCCTCTCCGTCGCAAAAGAAACCATGGCCGGTACTTCCTTCGTACACCCCCTGGTCTCAAAAACCCAATCTGACTCTCGGATCATGTGAAGGTTACTTCGGAAACGGCTTTACTCGCCGCATCGAACTTCTCAGGCCACCCACAGAGCTTCGTCGGAATTATTGTGACGGTGGGAGTTTTGCTGGCGGAGGCTGGTTCAGATGTTTCCATAGCGAAACGTTGCGCAGCTCGATATGCGAGGGAGGGCAGGTTAGGATGAGGCCAGATAAGATTACAATGTCAAAAGGAGGAGAAAAACTGGAGACGGTGATGGGAAGGGGGGAAGACGAGGAAATGCCGGTGTTCCAGGGTGGAGCTTTTGATGTCGGTGTGACTGATAAATCGAAGGCAGGAAAGAAGCTCGTTGAGGATGACGAATTCATTAATCGATATCTACCCCAAGGATCCAAGTTGATCGATTCAATTCTGTTGGCCTCTGAAGATGACTTCCAATGCACTGAGGTTAGCATTTAGGGTTTTAAATTTCATGTCTTTTTAGTCGTTGCTTTGTTTGATCTGTTTCAATATGTTGCTTTTGTCATTTTTTTGAGGGATTGGAACAAGTTAGTGAAATAGGTTTCATTCTTCTACTACTATTAAAACATCTACGACAAGGGTCTAATGACTTAATTAAAACATCTATGATGGCTAGAAAACACATTTTAGTTTTGTTTGTTACATCATTTTTCTGACTAATTCATTTTCCAGTAATGTGATAATTCAATGGTTAGCTACAATGGTTAGGCTCCACAAGTCAACCAATTTTTAAAATATACATTTTGAATGATTTGACTTATTAATACAATAAAAATAATACTTATTTTGAAATATTTTAAAATTGGGTGTTGGAAGAGTTTTCAAGACTGGAGTAAGAGAAAATATTGTATAACTCAATTTTAAAAACATTCGCTATTTATAATTGACGGTAATGAGATTGAAAACCACTTTTAGAACTTTACCTGATGGAGTATATTCCCATATACCCCAGGGGTATCATAATCGCCGGTAGAGAGCACTACGGGTCCATCAAAGGCGAAAAAATACCAAGTCCACAGTCCAAGACTGACCCCGACCGCCGAGGTCGGGAAAACACCAGGCTCAGGAATCAGCCGGACTCGGCGGATAACGAAGTCGATCGGCCCCCGACCCCGGCCCCGAGGTCGGAAGAACATCAGGCTCAGGGATCAACTGAATTCGACAAATTATGAGCCCGACCTCGATGCCTCTGAGGTCGGTACCAAGTCGGACCCCGCAAGTCAAACATTTGGTCAACGACAGTCAAGCACCAGGCGGTCAATTACCTCTGAGGCAGGGACGCGAGCCCGAGTTCCCAGATATCGGCCTCAGTTATCCCCAAGGTCGGGATAAGGCGTCATGTACTTGGACATAATCCGCAAGGATCTATCTTGCAAGGAGACACCGCCACGTCACCCCCTGCACCTGAGGAACACTTCAGAATTATCCACGTGCGGTTACACGAAACTTCTGGCAGAAAATCTGTTAGAAGAATAATCAATCAGCCAGCTATCAAACGTTCTCTCTCCAATCAACTTTACATGTGGCTGCCTCCCATCAAATTAGGCCGTTAGTTTGTTAGATTAGCTTTACACGTGTCCCTCTCCCATTAGACTAGCATCTTTGGCTTGGCCACCAAGTATTTCCCTTTTCTCCTTAGTATAAATATCACCTTCCAACTTGTGGAAAGGGATGCTTAATCTATTGCACTCTTGAGACTTATACACAGAGATTTTACCGATTTAAGATCTGTAATTTCCGATCAGTTCATTCTCCTCTCTATTACTATTTTCGGTGGATTCCGGCCACCCCTGGTCCGACGATCCATCATTACCATTGTATTGCAGACTTGTAGTACTTTACCATTGCATTTTTAATTACTTTAGTATATCAATTACCAATAAATTGAATATATTTGGTAATTATCATTTTAGTTCAAATTTTTCTCCTTTCTAGCAAGTAGTTTGTTTTAGCTTATTTATTTTTCCAAGCTAGAAGGACAGATTCACTCTATTGGTAGGCTAGTAGCTTCAAAATTGCAAACAACTCCCTAAAACTAACCATTGGAGATGCTCTTAGGTCCGTAGTTGGGTATGATACCTAAGGATGAAAAATAAAGTATATATTGAGAACTTGTGAATGTATTTATGAAAGATGAAATGATTTTGTAATTTATTAATGAATTTGATGCATATATGAGAGCGAAAACATTATTGGGAGAAGATTCTCCCTTTAATAATAACAATAAAATAGAAAATGATAGAGAAAAATAATATAACAGAATGTGAAAGTGAGTCACAGTTGGTACTTGGCTGTGATACATAAGGATGAACAATAATATATAGTGTGAGAATTTGTTGATTTATTTATGAGAGATGAAATGATTTTGTAACTTATTACGGAGTATTGAATTGAAGCAAATATGGGTGGGAAACATTATTGCATTATGTAGAGAACATTCTCCCTTTATGTATAGACGGAGTATATAGTATACTTCATATGATATAGTTCTCTCTTTATGTATACATATATAATATTTTTATTATTATAGAATTTAATGTATATATGAGAAAAAAAACATTATTGGGAGGAGATTCTTCTTATGTGAAATAATAAATTGTTAAATGTCACACACCGGAAAAGTTTGGATGAACAAAGTGCTATATTAACACATGTGCTACTCATCCTATCAGGTTGACCTCTTAGGATGGAACCTCGTGTCTTAACATGGTATCAGAACCAAATCGATCCATGGTGTGGGATCCCTTATGGAGAATGATGACACTATTATAAAAAACAATGAAAATTACGGTTGGATGAAAAAAGCGGACCGATGAAAAAAAATGAATGATGACACGATCCAGACGAAATGTCTGGTCATGAGGAGGGGTGTTAAATGTCACACAACGGAAAAGTTTGGATGAACAAAGTGCTATATTAACACATGGGCTACTCCTCCTATCAGGTTGACCTTTTAGGATGGAACTCATGTCTTAACATAAATACTCCGTAATAAATAATACTTAGATATACTAAGACTTCTATAATTATTATTATTTGGTTTGATGCGTGAGTATTGTCTACTTTAGTGGGTTAAATGAGCATCCATGGAAGTGACCCTTATCCCGACCTTGGGATAAAAATTATATGAAAACATAGTTTAAATGATCCTCTACAGTAACTTCAGCCAATACAACCAGAAAAGTAGAATGCCAATATGTAACCTTTTAATCAACTTTTTTTTCTTCAATTCTTTACAAACAATTTATTTTGCCAATATGTAGAATGCCCTGACTAGTTGTTAATTGGCTTGTTGGTTCACCTACATCAATCAGTTTCGATATCTTTTACTACCTCCGTCCCTTAAAACTTTGCCATGTTTGACCGGCACGGGGATTAATAAAGTAAAAACTGTGTGGTTGAGGTTTGTGCAGAGGAGAGAGAATTAACTGGAACCACAAATTCATTACTTAAAAGGGAAAGTGGCAAAGTTAGTGGGACATCCAAAAAAGGAAAGTTGGCAAAGTTTTAAGGGACGGAGGGAGTATAACAGGAAATATGGGTCTGAAGCATTGGTTCCTCTGTTCGAATAGGGTTGTGTCAAGTTGGATGTTTTAGAGTTATTATGGAGATTCTGAGGATTTGGAGAAGTTCGGAGGAATATTTTCATAAAGTTTATTAACGGGATAAGGGTCAGTTTGGTCCTCGAAATTGCAAAAAAGGAGTCAAATAAGTCTTTATATAGAAGATTCTGTCCGGAAGTGTCATTTGAGGTGGCTCCCGGTGGAATTTTTTGATGAAATTTTTTGAGCATCTTATTCATTAAGTCTAGTTTACTCATATCAAATTTCAGATAAAAATTCAATCGGGAAGACATTCAATTGAATTCTTGAAGATAATTGTGCCGTTAAAAGCGCAGTTATCTTCAAGAATTCATTTGAATGTCTTCCCGATTGAATGTTTAGCTGAAATTTGGTATGAGTAAACTAGACTTAATGAATAGGATGCTCAAAAAGTTTTATCAAAAAATTCCACCGGGAGCCACCTCAAATGGCACGTCCGGACATAATCTTCTATATAAGGACTTATTTGACACCTTTTTTGCAACTTCGAGGACCAAACTGACCCTTTACTCGTTTATTAACTCTGTATTCAGGAGCAATATTTATTGCAGAATACAACATTAAATTCTAGTATAGCTTTAAATGAAATCTTACTACAATTTCAAAAGGTTAGTAAAATACTACGTAGAAAATACAATTAATTACTAGTTTACTACTGGGACTTGTTTCAGTGGACCATTTACATCTACTCACATATACACATGTTGATTCTTGATACTTAATAGAGATAGAAATAGTGGTTGTGCTTAGAAAGACGTGAGGGGATGACAATCTTCATGATCTGTATCTGGATTGTAATGTTAAAGGAGTAAAGGAGGTTAATAATGGAGTAATGGTGTCATTTGCCAAGTGTTTTTTTGTCCATTTGGCAATAGTTATTCGGCTGGGTATCAAATAATTGTTTCAAAAGATTTCTTATCATAATAATATTTTAATTATTTTGTTTCAAAGTACTAAGGTTTTGTATGAATCAATTCAGTTTTGTTTGGAATCGGGGGGGGGGGGGGGGGGGGGAGCTGAAATTATTAGGGTTTATTGTATTTATTTTTTGTTCAATTTAGTTTCATTGAGTTTTCAGTTTGATTTGGAGTAGTATAGATCGAGAAAAATATTTCCAAACTACATCGAGATGTATATGGTTCAGTTTTTATTCATATTAATTTGGTTTAGTTCATATCAAAATGCACACCAACAATTGATCTTTTGAAGCATGTTGTGAGCAACTTTCAGATGCTTGGCTTCTCAATGTGTTTTACGTTTCTGACAAAGTTCATAATTTCAGTGGATTGAGGAGCCAACACTTCTGGTAACACGGTATGAGTATGCAAACCTTTTCCACACTTTCACGGATTGGTACAGTGCCTATGTGACCTCCAGAGTGACCTGCTTGACAATTCGGCCTCATGTTGTTTTTGTGGATGGCCACTGTGAGGTATGTGTCCAAATGAGTTGACTGCCTCTACCAATATTATGTCCTGCAGTTGCTATGCTGTCAAGCGCCCTTTTGGTGAAAGTTATTTGGATGAAATGGTTGAATCTGCTAAATTTCTGATTTATATGCTTTGGAGTAGCATTCCATTCAGCCAAATACTAAGTAAGTCTAAAACAATCTATTTATGTTTATTCTGTTGATAAGCAAAATAAGCTGAATGGTTTGTATCATACCCCCTCCCCGGTTCGCCCCCTCCCCAAACGAAGATAAGAATTGTTTCAAAAGGCTTAACTATTTCTTCTTTTCATGGTATTCATAAAAAAAGGGTCACGAATGAGTTAAATATGATCAGTTGAAGACTTGATAAACGATAAAAGTTGAGCTAATGTCTCATAAGACGAAGACTTACATTAACCAAAATAAAAAAGCGGTGGCTTGCCCCTTTTTCCATAAAGATTTTTGAAACAATGATATTTTGTTAGCTTTCGATCTTCACCCTCTAAAAGCTCGGTAACTTTCATAGTAAATGGTGCATATAGTTCAGAGTCAAATTAGTAAATGGTTCATACTTCATAGTAAATGGTGCATATAGTTCAGAGTCAAATTAGTAAATGGTTCATAGTAAATGGTGCATTGAAAGAAGAGGGTAATATTGTGTTTCTTTTTTCATATTGCATTTCTCAGACACAATTGGAGGAGGTGTGGAAAGCATTGTTTGCAAGCGTCAGATATGCAAAACACTTTAAGGGTCCTGTTTGCTTCCGCCATGCTATCCTCTCACCTTTGGGGTACGAAACGGCACTGTTTAAGGGACTCTCAGAAAACATAAACTGTCGAGGCACTACAGCTCATGATCTGTTGCAAAACCCCAAAGACGAAGAGAAAACTTCGCGGTTGGATGAGTTTGGGGAGATGATAAAAGCAGCCTTCGGCTTTCCACCACTCAACGACAACCCAAGGCCAGAAGTTTCAGGCGTTCGTCATCACAGCATCCTCTTTGTTCGCCGGGAGGATTACTTGGCCCACCCCCGACACAGTGGGAAACCAGAGTCAAGGCTTAGCAATGAACAACAAGTGTTTGATGCAATAAGGAACTGGGCAGCATCATTACTGTCATCATCAAACGGTTTCAAATGCAAGCTAAGTGTGGTTAACGGATTATTTGGTCACATGTCAGTAAAGGAGCAGGTTGAAGCAATACAGGACGCTTCGGTCATTGTGGGTGCTCATGGGGCAGGTATGACCCATGCCATATCTGCAGTGCCTGGAACAATAATCCTTGAGATCATTAGCAGTGCACATAGGCGTCCCCATTTCGCCCTTATCGCGAAATGGAAGGGCCTTGAGTACCAGCCCATTTTTTTGGATGGTTCCCACGCCGATCCTCAAGTGGTGATTGATAAGCTCGACAGCATTTTGAAAAGTAGTGGTCTGGGATGCTGAATAGAGAACAACATATCAAACCAGTAGGGAATATACATTCGATCAGGCGTCACAATATCAGCTTATCTTCTATATCATTTTATCCCAAGCTTTAGAGGTCGGCTTAACTCATATACCTCCATACACTTTTCAACCAAGGGCTTTAAGAGGATTTAAAGCTCGTTAAGGTTTACATATTTTAAACCTTTGAAATGACCTTTGTTTTCTGTTTAGATGATTTAGAAGGTCTTTATTTTCCATGCAATTTTCAATTGCATTTTCATCTATTTGCAAAAAGACATGTTTGACAGACTGATAAAAGGCTTTTTCTATATAGTATGTAAACGGATCTTTGAATGCAAAATCCTCTTATCAAATTATATTAACGGAAATAAAACATAAAAGTAAGTGTGAAGGGGGTAGGTTGTTGTAACACAGGATGTTAGTGAAAAGTGTGTAAAATGAATTCACAAGTCCAAACTAATATGGAGTAAAATTTAATAAAAACAAAAGTCTATTCAGGAAGGCTAAAGATGTAAATAAGATAATAAGAAAATATAAAGAACCTATATTTTACTTGATGCCAATATGGATTAATGTGAGCCGTAGATTTGTTCCCAAATTTTAACCAATCACCGAGTGTGCTTTTGGTTTAACAGGTGCTACAATGCAACTATCATAGAATACATTCCAAAATCTTGACAAGAAGTTGAAAAAATTTCAATGACCTACAAAAGTGTGAACCTTTCAAGCAAATCCATATCACAATCACAGAGGGAACGAAAATCACAATTGATATCTTTGGTTTCAAAATACAGAAACTTGGATGCAACATAACTCCGGAGAGCTTGGTCGATCTTACATTTGAATTTGAAACACCAAAAGCAAGAAGCTACAAATGAACCAAGCTAGTTTCTCCATTTGAGTGTTTTGTGTTTTTTGACCAAATACCATTTCAAATTTATAAAAGCTGGCACACAAAATGGAGGGCAATTTCAATACCATATAATTGAGAGCAGCCATAAATGTAATAGGAATATGTATAACCATAGATAGAAATAAGCAGTGCAGGGCCCCGGAATATGGGTGTAAATTAAACCGATAGTAGGTAGCATGGCAGGACAGGAGTAACCGACTAACAATCTAGACAGAAGAAAGGATGGAAGCGTGCGCCGCCTAGACACTCATTGAAGGCATCGATGACGTCTTCTTCCTCCAATTGTAACATGTCCGGCGTGTCCTGAGGCTGGACTCGTCTTCCTTCGTGCGTGAAACGAGTGGCCTTGAAATCTACACCTTCCAGAGTGCAGTATCCAATGAAGGCTGCTTCAAAAGCTTCGTCCCTCCTGATTGTGAAGAGTTGATCACGCTGGTGCTGCATTTGAATCTTTATTGTTATGTACCCGCTTTCCGTTTTCACTGCCGCGGTTGATGATGACATTTCCTACCTCCGTCCACTACATTTCCCACACGCATTATTATATACATACATAGTTCTGATCCGGCCTTTCCAATTCCCAGCCATCAGTTTCTGTGTTTCATTCGAGGTTTTATTGGAATGGAAGAAGAAACACTCTCTACATGTGATTTCATTTGCATTCCCTAACCCTTTTTATTACGACGACTCTTATTCCTCAGAATTTAAAGCACCTCGATCGATTGACCAAAATAATCTCAATATTGAATATCTACGACCCAAGTGACCAATTTTTTTAGCAATTTGATCCTTCCATAGTATCAAATTGTCAATAATTTATGTAATGATTATTTTCCTGTTCAATGTTCTTTTTAGCAAATTGATCATTCTACAAGTTATAAATAAAGTACATTAAACATACACATTTACCATAAATTATTACAACTATGACGTAATCAATATTCAATTGTTACAAATTTACTACTACGTAATTTAGCACAACCTTTAGAAAAACTAGCCATCCCATCTTTGCGTTTCTTTCTTCATGATTTTAGATCAGTAGTATAGTACTAATTTATAGATTACGATATGTTGGAGTAAAAATTACTATATAAAATTGTAGAAAGAAATGTAACATGAAAATAAATAATTATTTAGATGCATCATACACGAGTTACAATTTCTAATGTGTCGATCTTTAAATTTTCAAAGGAATATGAAGTTTTAATATTACATTATATTTCAGAAAATAATATTTAAAAAAGAATATACTCTCTCCGTTCTCTAATACATGTCTCTCTTTCCATTTTGGGATGTTCTCCAATACATGTCTTCCTTTCCATTTTTAGAATTTTTTCCAATAAATATACTTATATACTCTCATTCTCTTTCCTACTTTTTAATACTTTTTCCAACGTTTTCCTTTGAAAGAATGGGAGGAACAAGACCCCCGAGTTTGATATTGACGAAAATAAGACCTAATTACAATCTGGACAATAATGAGACTAGACAAATTTGAACTGACAAAAGTGTCCTCATATATATATATATATATATATATATATATATATATAGAGAGAGAGAGAGAGAGAGAGAGAGGACAAATCGTATCAGGCCGGCCTGACGGGAACCGCCGTCAGGCCGAGGCCATTTGGGGACCTTCCCCGGTGGAATTTTTTGATGAAATTTTTTGAGCATGTTCCTCATCAAGTCTAGTTTATTCATACCAAATTTCAGCTAACAATTCAATCGGGAAGGCAGTCAAAAAAAATCCCTACTAAAACTGTGCATTATTTATATATAAACTGCGCAGTTTTAGTAGGGAATTTTTTTGACTGTCTTCCCGATTGAATTTTTAGATGAAATTCGGTATGGATAAACTAGACTTGATGAGGAACATTCTCAAAAAATTTCATCAAAAAATTCCACCGGTAAGGGCCTCTGATGGCCTCGGCCTTGACGGCGGTTTATGTTAGGCCGGCCTGACAGGATCGGGACTCTCTCTCTCTCTCTCTCTCTCTCTCTATATATATATATATATATATATATATATATATATATATATATATATTAAAATCTACTCCAGCCTTACCAGCCTCTTCTGTCTGAACCAGAGCTCAAGTATGAGAACTTGCTCTTCCATTTGAACCAGAGCTCATGCACAAGGATGGTCGTTCGAATTTCTGAACCTGTGCTTCAACTCCGGGGAACGGAAACAACGTCCAACGGCAGTGCATTTGGCTTAGCTTGGAGGCTGGCAATGACACCTCGCCTCTGCCGCTTCCTTTCTCCGCCGCCTAGTCCGGCTCCGCCCTCGTCGTGGGGTGGAATCTCTTGATCTTCTTCTCCTCTTTTCTTTTGTCCGCAAAAATCCGCTACAATCTTGACACTAAATCCCAACCAGGAGACAAAGATCGATCTGAAGCTCCTAATTTTGTTTGTGCCGGCACCTAGGGTTTCCAATTGGCTGTCGGCGACGGTTAAAAAATGGTTGCGAAGGCCAGGGAGGGGGTGGGACAGTGGGGCGCGGTTGTTCGAAACTGGTAATTGCAGCGATGGATTGGTGGAGCATGTGTGTCGATATTGGGGGGTAGTGGCTTCGCCGTGGCTGGTGGCAGAATCGGGTGGTTGGGGATGGATCGAGCTTGGGGGGTTGGATCTAGGCTGGTGGAGGCTAGGAGGGGAGTCAGGAACAGGGGGCGGGGCGGTGACAATGACGGTTGCCAGGAGGGGCGGTGGGCAGTAACTTGACTGGCAGTAAAAGGGAGGGCATGGGGCTGGGGCGTGGTGGTGTCGGAGGGGCATGGGGTTGGGTTCTCAGGGGAGGGGGCTGGAATGACGCAGGGAAGGGGGCCGGGGTGACGCATGGAAGGGGCTGGGGTGGGGGAGGGGGCTGGGGTGTAGTTTGGCGGCGACGGTTGGTGGCGGTGGCTGAAGGTGGGTGTAGTTGGCAGTGGTGGTCGCCAATAATGGCAGTCGGTGGCAGTTGCCGGCAGCGGGGGGTGGTGTTGGCCAGCGGTAATTATTATCGAACCTGGGTAATTGTAAATGGTTGAACCCGATAATTTTAACTGTAAGAGCGCGCGAGTCGGGTATATGTAAGTGAATGGGTTGGGCAACTCTAAGCGGATGAAACGGTAACAGTATCTGGACGAGTTAGGTAATTGTAACTGTACGAGACGAGTAACTGTAATTGTAATTGGATGAGATGAGTAACTGTAATTGGACTGTTTGGGTAACTGTAACTGGATGAGGCGAGAGATTGTAACTGAACGGGTCGAGTAACTGTAACTGGGCGGATCGGGTAACTGTCACTAGACGAGTGGATGTTGGTCACTAGACGAGCAAACATTAGTCACTGGATGGAGTCTCAGGTCACTAATGGTTTTTGAATTATTTTTGGTCACTGGCGAATGTAACTGTAACCGGCGGCGCATAACTAAAATTTGTGGGGTGGGCAATTGTAACTGGTGGCAAATAATTGCTATTAATCAGATGGGACGGCGATAGTCACTGAAACTATAGTAACTAAGACGATATCACTGAAGCAATAATAGTAACTCAGACGATGGTCACTAAAGTGGTAATAACTGGGACGACGATAGCCACTGGAGCGTTAGTAACTAAGACGATGTCACTGAATCAGTAATAGTAACTGAGACGATGGTCACTAAGAGAGCGGTAGTAATTGAGGTGTTGGTCATTAGAACATTTTCACACAATTTTCATATCTTAATATTTATCTTCAGAAATAATATTAAAATAAAAAACATTAATAAAAAAACATTTAGAGATTGCAAACATTTTCACCGGTGTATTGTTAGAGATTGCATGGATCATATTAAATAAAAAAATCTTGTTAGAGTGCATTGCTACGGAATCATATTAAATATTAAAAAAAATCTTGTTATGGTGCATTGCTACGGACTTGGTATCTTACGGACTGCATTTTTAGTTAGCTACGGACTTACGGTTGCAGCGATAGATAAGGAGGGCAAATTAGTAAAGAACGTGTTTCTCAGTCACTTTTTTCGGAATTTAAAAAGAAAAGTCTCGTTTTTGTCCATTGCTTATTTTTTAGTACGTAGTAATATTTATGACAAAACCCCTTTTCCTTTACACGCAACACACTACACCTTTTATCTCAGGGAAAAATAATTCAAATACCCCAAACTTTGAAGGGGTGTGAGATGAACACCCCAATATCTTGCATATGTAATTTAAATACCCCGACTTTATATACAAATTTATTTTAGCACCATAGGCAAATACTATTTCTTTCAAAAATGTAAATTTATGGTGTTGATTTCATAATTTAAAATATTTTAGAATGCATGAAGACACAATTCACAATTAACATTCTTGATGGAGTATATGGCCCAGGAACCCCCGGCCCATAGACTCCTACTTCTCCTACACAAGTCCATTGAGCCCAGAGAACAACTCAGGCCCAAATACAACGGCCCAAGCCTTAAAGTAGCCCAGAATACACACTGAGGTGCCTTCGGCCTCCTTGGCCGAAGGCTCCAAAACTCACAGGATAGCCTCCTCTGGCATAAGAAGCTACTGGGAGAAAACGGCAAAAAACATGAGCCTTCGGCATGATCAAGCCCTCGGCACACGAGGCCTTCGGCTACACTGGGGTCCTTGATCACATGGAGCCCTCGGCTACACAAGGAGCCCTCGGCCAAACATGCTCAGTCATCGAAGATTCCTTTTGGAGACAGCCAACCACCGCATTTAATGCCGCGTCACATCCGCCAACCGCATTCAATGCGGTGAACGTACCACTGCCGGCTGATGTGACCCCTCGGCCATTGGATTACTGACACGTGTACTCTCATCGCATTTATTGCTGCTATAAATAGCAGCCCATTTCTCCTTGTAAACGATCCCAGATCCCATCTCTTACACGCTGAGTTCATTTAATAAATCGACTCTCTCTCCTCCTATTTTGCTCTGACTTCTCTCTAAGTTATTCCCGCAATAACCCCTCGGATAAGATACCCCCCGGGTAGACTGTCCATCATTTGGTGCTCTCGTTGAGAGGTCTGAACTATCAAGTAAGAAACTCTCCCCCTCTACCAAACACAAAACACCTACCGAAAATGGGAAAAACTCGTGCTCAGTCCAAAACCCTTGAGGAGAACCACGTAGCCCCCGGCGAAACCAACGGGGCTGAGACCTCCAACAGGCTCTTAGTACCCGAGGGCGGTATTATCCTCGAATTGGAGCAGGCTACTGCTGACCTCCGTCAGCAGCTACAGAAGAACGCCCCTGATGCCCGCATTGGCCTTGATAATCGAAGGAGGGATCGGAGTGAGAACCAAGTTCCCCCTCCGGCCCCGGCCATCGATCTTCAGGCTGCCTTTGCGGCCTTTGTTCAAAACATGGCTCTCAATTCCGGAGCCCTCGTCTCTCAAGCGCCCCTTCAGCCCTATGCTGGAGGAAATGTTATCCAACTGCCACCACTCCCTCCTCTGTTCAACAATCCTCCCCCGGGGATTGGCAACGCCGAGGGGGTCATGGCGCAGGATACCGCCTCCCAAGAGGCCCAATCCAGGGATAAGCGCCCCCTGATGAAGGAGAAGCCCCGAACCTCTGCACTTGAGAGGCTGGGGGGAGCTCCCGGGCACCGAGGGGTCCAAGACCGCCTCGGGAAACAGGCGCTCAGCAGGCCCCAGGAAAGTGGAGCCTCCGCTTTAGGTGCCGAGGACATGCCTCCACCCCGGAGCAAAGGCAAAGCCCTCCTCCATGCCGATGACGTCAGGCACCAAATTAATCAAGCGCAATCCTT